GGACCGGTACCGGTCCGAGGCCCGGGGGTTGGGGACCGCTGCCTTATAGTGCGGAAAATACGATAATTTTATGTCACTACTTGGTATATTCAGGATTGACGGTGGCTTGAATGACTGCCTTGGAGTTGACCTCCTGAGGTCCTGCCCAATGAGTTCTCAATGAAGAATATTTATGTGCTGCTATCCTTGTATCACCAAGCACTACAGTATTCATGTGTGAGGCTTTCTTATAGTCAGTCCAGGTGATAGTCATGTTGGTTGGTCTGGCGTATCAATGAGCAGCTGGTGCTTTACCCCTTCTAATGCCTTTTAGAGATGTGCTCATGTACTGACTTATGCACCTACTCAGCTGATGATGATGATGATGCCTGTGGAGAGCCAGGTAACTAGTTGCTAATTTGAGACTGTTGTATAACTGTGATAAAGTCCTTATAGTAGTGATCACAGAGGATGAACGATTCTGTGAGAAAACACTGGAGTACTCAATCTGTCTAGGAAGTTACAATAGCAGCAGTAGCTAGAAACTGTTTAGCACATGACACAGCAAACTGTATAAACTGTATGATCAGATACCAGTTATTCATTTTGACTTACTTGGGCCCAGTGACAGCTGGTCTCTCAGTTTGGGGTGAAGCTGATGCTGCTGGGGGTGAGCTGGTAAGCACTACTTGTGGTGCTTCAGGCCTTCTTAGAGATGAGGACAATGGTGTTGGGGACAAAGAAGACGGAAGCATCGCTGCTTCTGAATGGGAGCTGCTGGCACTGGGCACTCCCTACAACACAAAACATGTCACTGTTCCCACAAGCATTTCAGTAGTTTTTTGTTTAAAGATTTATTCAAGAAAACTTTCAGCATCTAAATTTGCATATTGTCTACTCAACAGAACAAGTTAGTGAAAAGTGACTGCACACACATCCTGGTACTGAACCTGGGCTATTACTATAGTATTGTCGCTGAAGAGAGAAGTTGTAGTATTTTTGATTCAAAAGAATCCTTGGAGAGTACGGCCAAGTCAATGCCATAATTTGTCGGCTTTCTTTTGTCCATATACAATCTGCCCACTGAATTTCATTAAGTTTATTCTTTGTTTCATCTCGTTTACAGACACAGTTGCCTCATCTCTCAGTTTACAGGTCGACAGGTTTTCAAAGATGTTCTGAAGAGTGAAGCCAATGAAGGGCCTTAAACCTGCATTCTACTCAATGACCAGCAGGGTGCAACCTGTCTGCAAAAAGACT